CCTTGCATGTATATATTGTTGAAAATATGTTCCGGATAATTGAATACTTAAATTATCGAAGAAGAATGAAAAAAAAATGTCATTAATATATCATCTAATAACACTTTCAGTTTATCATTTTATTAAAAAATTCATTTATGTTTTTGTCAAACGTTCAGTATGGTTTGCTAAATGATTGTCTTAGATGAAATATTAGAATGCGTTTAGTTTGGATAATTGAAAAATGTTTCTCTTCATTACACGCGCAGATAATCGAAAGTCCAGAATAATCTAGGTACGGATGATCCACGAAATGTTGTAAAGCATTTCGTCCCCAGAAGGAAATTTTAAGACTAATAATGGTTCTATTAACAGGGTCACTATTAATGGGGTCATATTGATGAAACCATTTGTCTGAAGAAGTTCGTCCTGGGGAAGAAACGCGTTATTAAGTAGATTTTTCTATCATTTCATCGCACATTATTAGTCTGAATTATAATTTGTCCTACACCTATAAACACACATACATACATAGACATACACGGACACATTCATATATATATATATATATATATATATATATATATATATATATATTAAACCTTAAGTTAATATAAAGTAAGTGAACCCTAAGATATTTTAAAAAATTGTCCTTGTTTCATTTTCAACAGATCATAATTAAGCTAAAATTACAATGACTTTGAATTTTTTATGAAGAAGGAATAAAACTATTAATTAAGATATATATATATATATATATATATATATATAGGTGTAACATTTAGGTAGGCTGTAGCTTAGGTTATATATATATATATATATATATATATATATATATATATATATATACACACACACACACACACACACACACACACATATATATATATATATGAGAAAATAGAGAGAAATAGGTGGGGCACTTTGACGTAGTGTAATTGTTAGAAAACTTGTTTCGCAAGATCAGTTACGACTGAGTACTAAGTTCGACCCAAACTGGGTGACCCAATCCTTCGGCCTTGTACCACATCTAACCTACGCTTAGAAAACTGTCAGCTTCAGACATATATTCCCTCGGCTAAGGTCGGGGTAGTTTCAAAATAAATTTATGCTCAAGCCTAAGGGGACCATCCCCCAATCAATTTCCTCTCCTTAACAAAGTAGGAGGTGGTCCAAACCATTAAAATTAAATGAGTAAAGAGGGCAACTTGAGCGATTTTTTTTTTTTACATTGCCGTTAAAAAACACTTTAAACCTTCACCATGCGTCACATTCGGTAGCGACGTAGCTACTATGAAAATTCCACACACACACACATATATATATGTATATATATATATATTTATAGATAGATAGATATTAGTGGTCAATATACATACATACATACATATATATATATATATATATATATATATATATATATATATATAAAATATAAAACTGGGACAATTGTAAAACAAAGTGGAAAAAATATCACGCTTGCAGGATTTTATCGGACTAAATTTGTTGTATTGGTTTTTTCTACACATAATGCGCGAACAAGGAATGCTGAGGATTTTATAATTTTTTTGATTCTTATTCTTATTCTTTCCATTACTTTTGTTTTGCGTCGAATATAAGATAATTATGGTACGGGAGAAGATTGAAAGTGTTTTCAATGTATTTCTCTCCTTCGTGTAAATCATATGGGCTGCATATTTTGAGTGTTCTTAAGAAGAATCCGATGATTATGCCGGATTTTATTTTGTTGTTATGATGAGAAAAGGCATTTATTAAATCGTTTTTGTTGGTTGATTTCCAGTGGACACCGAGTATTTAAATGGTTATTAACGTGATGTATCTTGATATCTATGAAAACTAAGCAAGTGTGTTCTTTTTGTTTTCTTATATATCCTAACAATAATCAAAATGGCGAAATTGAAAAAGGGTAAATATGGAGAGTAGTTAAAATAAAAAAAATAAATTTGTTACTAAAAAAACAAACAGATCGGTGTAAATAAGCTCTTGGTGAGTATAAAACAGAAAATAATTTACTCACGACCCACCCATGAGACAGAGGGAACAAAATATTCTCCTTCTGCCTGCATAAAGTCTGTCGATGAATCTTGACGTAAACAGCTTCTAAAAACCGTAAATATGAAAAAGTGATTCGACCTCTTCTTCTATCGGCTTTAAAAAAAAAAGACCTTTACACAATTTGAGCAATTCCTTCGGACATTCCGATTGACTGCCGTTTCTTTAATAATTGCAGCTTCTAAAGAAATAATAAAAGAGCTGTGTTAACTCATAAAAAATGTAATTACCATTTTCCCTACCAAGGGTCTTCTGAAGTACTGACACTATTAGGCGATACTGTCAATATCGTTTCTCAATTTAATTTAAAAACTTCTATTCAGATTGTATTTTCATGGAAGATGTTTACAAACAAACTATTATTTCTTTTGTTTGTTTGTTGTTGTTGTTGTTTTTCTGATCGCAAGCCGATCAGAAAATTCTCTTGGGCTGAAAAAACTTAACAGCTTGGATATCAAAAACTAATAGAAATGTTTCAGGAAACCTTAAAATAGTTATATGTAATTTTCATACATTTTACAGAACAATATTTAGAGTGTTGCATTATTTAAAAGATGGAATTAAGGAAGAACAAAATAATAATCTCCGAAATATTTTTTTTCTTTCGGAAAATAAGAAAAAGTTTTTTATAGAATACGGTTGGAAACAAAAGTTCATGTTATAAAGGAAACATGTTCTGTACGAATATAAAACATCATACTTATTATAAAACCCAGGTTGTGTGTGTGTCTGTACGTTTGTATATTGGATTGGATTTCCTACATTTTTCAACCGATTTCAACAAAATTTCACAGGACTACATAAAATTAACTTGCAGTGGTTCTGACAGCACGAAAAAATTGGAAAAACAATTGTTTTTGCACGAAATCAATTTGAAAACACAATTAAGAGGCATCACAAGAATGAAAGGGGAACAACTCATATCGAGTTGTACTTATAAAACCCAGGTTGTTTGTTTGTGTATGTGTGTTCGTTTATATATGGGATCGGATTTCCTACATTTTTCAACCGATTTCAACAAAACTTCACTTTTTTTGGCAGGTAGTGTTTCTTATTGTCTTGCACATTTTTTTTTTATTTATACATTCAGAATGCTTTAAAAATTCCATTTACAAGATAATTGTTTATAATAAAATTCTATTCAATCGGTAGACTCATAACGATTGAAAAGAATGTTTTTGTTTGAGTTTGACCAATTCTTAAAAAAAAAAAAACCTAATTAAGACATGCGTGTCTGTCAACCTTAAACAATCTTTGTCAATTTTATTTTTCATTCTTTATGATGGTCGATACTTGATCTATCTCTTACTGTTACATCCCCGAGCAACGCCGGGCTCTATTGCTAGTAAATAATATGCTTGTGTATGTCTTCATACATTTATTATGTTTTGTATATAGATGAATGAAGAAAAATATATACGGAAAAAACAAACAAAAATACTTATATACAATTTATACTGTTTTAATGTTAATATGTCAACGTCGGACGTTTCGGTCTAATAAACCATCTTCAGGACATATTCATAAATTACAACATTATCAATACAACATGACAAAGATAATGATAATGTTATAATTTATGAATATGTCCTGAAGATGGTTTATTAGACCGAAACGTCCGACGTTGACATATTAACATTAAAACAGTATAAATTGTATATAAGGATTTTGTTTGTTTTTTCCGTATATATTTTTCTTCATACTGTCGGATTTATATCCATATATTTGCTTACATATAGATGAATCAATATATGTCTGCCAATCAGCTTCAGTCTGATGATATCAATCTATCTATTTTAGTCTATCCATGTCCATATCTATCTATCTATCTCAATCCATATCTATTTCATTCTATCCATATCTATCTAATTATTTCAATCTATTCATATCTATCTATCAATCTACCTATTTCAGTATACACATATCTATCTATTTCAGTCTATGCATATTTATCTAATTTCATTCTATGTATATCTATCTATCTATTTCAGTCTACCCATATATATCTATTTTATCTATTTCAGTCAACCCATATCTATCTATCTATCTATCTATTTCAGTCTATCCTTATCTATCTAATTATTTCAGTCTATCCATATCTATTTGCCTATCTATCTATCCATCTATCTATATCTATCCACACATTTATCTATATATATACATACATATGTCTACATTTCGAAGTCTGTTGTTATATATTCCTTAGTCTGTTCCTATCTTAATCAGTTTTTCAATCTCAGTCTATTTATGTGCATGAAACTCAGAGTTGAGCTACCAGTGAGGGAAACACACACATACATACATATATATATATATATATATATATATATATATATATATATATATATATAAAATTTCAATACTACAGAGAAGGAAAATGTTTAAAAGAAAGATGTTTAATTATATTTACACACACACATATATATATATATATATATATATATATATATATATATATATATATGTATATATATCATCTCAATCTCTTCGCATCTATCAACCTCAGTCTGTCCATCTTTCTCAATCTATTCATATTTTTGTAAATCTATTTATCGATCTGTACGTACATTATCTCTCTATTTTTCTCTTTATCTATCTCAACCAGTTCATATCTAAATATATATCTATTCGTTCATATCAGCCTATCTACGCCGGTTCATATCAATATATCGATCACTTTATGCCTGTTCATATATTTCTAACTGTATATCTGTCTATCCTTGTTCATCTATTCATATCCCTCTAGTTAGATATATGTGTGTGCGTTTTTGCAAACAAATGTTGGATTAAATATAGGAATCTATACACGAGGATATATTAGCATAATTGTAAGTATAAAATGTTTGATTTCTCCTTTCATGAATCGGGACTAAAAGTTTTCACCGTAATAAAATTTTAAAACCAAAAAAATTTAAAACCAAAACCAAATATTCAAAGCGTATTTTATCTTATGCATAGATAGATAGATAGATATAAACGAACTGAGATAGATAGATAGATAGATAGATAGATAGATAGATAGATAGATATAAATGAACTGAGATAGATAGATGGATAGATAGATAGATATAAATGAACTGAGATAGATAGATGGATAGATAGATAGATATAAATGAACTGAGATAGAGAGATGGATAGATAGATAGATATAAATGAACTGAGATAGATAGATAGATAGATAGATATAAATGAACTGAGATAGATAGATAGATAGATAGATAGATAGATATAAATGAACTGAGATAGATAGATAGATAGATAGATAGATATAAATGAACTGAGATAGATAGATAGATATAAATGAACTTAAATAGATAGATAGATATAAATGAACTTAGATAGATAGATAGATAGATAGATATAAATAGACTGAGATAGATTCTTAGATATAAACGAACTGAGATAGATAGATGAGACGAACTTTTATAGATAGATAGATATAAACGAACTGAAAATAGATTATGATAGATCGTGAACTTAGATAGATAGATATATATAAACGAACTGAGATAGATAGATAGATAGATATAAACGAACTGAGATAGATATAAACGAAAACGAACTAGATAGATAGATAGATATAAACGAACTGAGATAGATAGATAGATATAAATGAACTGAGATAGATAGATAGATATAAACGAACTGAGATAGATAGATAGATAGATATAAACGAACTGAGATAGATATAAACGAACTTAGATAGATAGATAGATATAAACGAACTGAGATAGATAGATAGATATAAACGAACTGAGTTAGATAGATAGATATAAACAAACTTAGATAGATAGATAGATATAAACGAACTGAGTTAGATAGATAGATAATGCACAAACTGATAGTGCCATATATGTCTATAATGAAGATCAAGCCTATGCTCAATCCGTTCGTGGTATGGACGTCTGGACGTGGTCGAGTACGAATTTTTACATAGACACAAAGGTATAATGAAATGTGACAGTTAAAATCGTGCCTATATTTGGGAGTTAAACGCAGGCATACAAGAACGTGCACACAAGCACCTTCCTAAATGCTGACATAAAAATCTTCTTCCGACGTTTGTATGTGAAGCGGCAAAGTTTTACTTAATTTTCAAAGTTACTTCGTTAATCGTTGAAGTGGAAACTCGATGTCTTTGCAAACAAGAGTTACATCATAGTCCATTTCAGAGCGCGCCAATGATGAATGGTAGCCGGCTGGCTGTCCAGCGTCTAGGCTCGTTTGGCTCTTTCGTTGATGTTATTATCAACGGACACTGCTATTACGCCCGGTCAGTCCTGGCGTTTTGATGGCCACTTATGATGACCATTAAATCAGAAACTATCGTCAGCGCCAACTCCAACCACTAGTCACAGTATCCAGGTTGAGGAAGACGGTAAGGACTAGGATAGCAACACAGGCCAATGGCTACGTTTACCCCATCAATTGCTGGCATCACCCATCTTCCCTAAGTGAACATATCACAGGAGATGATAGTTGCCGTCATATTTGATTTGCTATGGAGATTTTGGCATCGTGGAGGGCCAAAGTAATCGGCTAGCGGCGTTTGGAAATTGGTCCAGAGACGGATGAAGAAATCAAATTGCAGAAGGGGGGAAAAAGAAAGAAAAAAAGACGAGAAAAGAAGAAGACGACAACGAAAAAGAAGACGAGAACGAAAAAGAAGATGAGACGAAGAAGAAGAAGAAAAAGAAGAAGAATGGTTTAATCGAAATAAAAAAAATCAAAGAAACTAATTCAAAATGGCAGAAAGAATAGTAACAGTTGTATAAATCGGAAAAAATAATCTTTAAAAAGTGTAGAAAATAATTTTGAGATTGTTTATTGGAATATATTTGCCATGAGAAAAAAATATGATGGGAAAAATAAGATAATAACGAGCCAATATCCTTTTGCTATTAAATAATATTAGATAGGATAAGATTGAAGCTTCTGCCTCTCTCTCTCTCTCTCTATTTATATATATATATATATATATATATATATATATATATATATATATAAAAACTAGAAAGGTTTTTTTTTAGACGCGTTTCATCCGTTATATCATTATATATATATATATATATATAGGATTAATGCAAATGTAAAATTTGTCAATTAGCTTATTGTTATTATATTCAGCAACTCGACTCCGGAGTTTCGTAGACGAACCTGTGTGTAACTGTTCCGTCTAATCTTCAGGAGATATCAGCAATATGTATAGGCAGAAAGGAACTCACACTTAGTCGTAATTAATCTACCAAAATAAATTTTCTAACCTTTTCTACACGTCGATGTGCACTTTTAAAATCGAAATTATTGTCAGACATGGTGAACTACTAATTCATTTAATGTGTTCTTTTGCAAAATCTCACTTTTGTTCATATAATCCTTTATTTAAACTCATCGACCTTTCTCTTTTGTATTCGTTTTAGAATCTGTTTTTTCTTTATATTCCTCCTTTTATTTCGTTTTAATTGTACGCACGCACAAACACACACTGAGTTATTTGAAAGCAAATTTTGTCTGTTATTCTTAGTTTTGTGAATGTTTAAGACGCACGACGATATATCTGGACAGTAAGAGTATAAATTCTCCCGAAAAAATCGCTGTGGCTGAAGAAAGGAAAGAAGATAAGGAAAGTTAATTTGTTTGTTTTCATTGGTCGCAAACTAGAAGTTTCGAAGAACTAATACGTATGTATTGTCCCTTTTTTTTCTAGATTCATCCTTTTTCTTTCTTTCTTCTTTCTTTTGTTTCCCTTTCTTCCTTTCTTTTTCTTCCTTTTTTGTTTCTTTCTTTCTTTTTTCTTTCTTACCTTTCCTTTTTTCCTTTCTTTTTCTTTCTTTTTTCTTTCTTTCTTTCTTTTTTCTTTCTTTTTTCTTTCTTTCTTTCTTTTTTCTTTTCTTTTCTTTTTTTCTTTTTTTTCTTTCTTTCTTTTTTTTTTTCTTTTTTCTTTCTTTTTTTCGTTCTTTCTTTTTCTTTCTTTCTTTCTTTTCGTTCTTTCTTTCTTTTTCGTTCTTTTTTTCTTTCTTTCTTTTCGTTCTTTCTTTCTTTCTTTTTCGTTCTTTCCTTCTTTCTTTTTCGTTCTTTCTTTCTTTCTTTTACGTTCTTTCCTTTGTTTCTTTCATTTTCGTTATTTCCTTTCTTTCTTTCTTTCTTTCTCAATATTCACAAGTATCTATAATACATACGATAACGTAGAGATATGGCTTCTTGAGCTAATTTTCTGGAATACAATTCTTTTCCGTACTGTGTCCACACAGGGTGTGGTTGATCATAGCTCTCCTCAGCTTCCTGTCTTTTGTCGCTCTGAGTTATCCGATGCTTTTCTCAGTCCTTCTTACCTTCAATACATTCTGTGAGTATCAAATTTCCCAAGCTCTCTTTCCTCACTATGGCCTCAGAAATTTCAACTTCCTCTTTCTGATTATAAATATTTGTTCCTTTTGTTTTCATGTTCATAAAACCTCGACGTTGCTCACATGTTCAGACCCCTGTATACTCAGCATCCTTCTGCAGGACCAAATTTCTGTTGCAACGAGTCTCTTCTTCATCTGTAATGAGATCATCCAACATTCACTGCTATATAGATCCTGCACGCTTTTTTTTTTCTTTTCTTTTTCTGACGAAATTTTCCTGCTTTTTAATACTTTGCTTAGCTTTTGGAAAGCATATTTTGTTATACCAATGAACTTTCGAATTTCAGTGTCGCATGTTTCGTCCTCTGTTAAAACACTTTTATTATGTCATGTGAGTGTCCCTTTATTCATTATTTGTGCTAGATATTTCAACTGTCTCTTTTTGATTCGGAGTACATCTTTGGTTTTGTCTCCAATGTTCCTTATTCACCTGTTCAGTCCCTCTTATTCTCAGCATCCTTCTGTAGAACATTTCTGTTTCCTTAAATTTCTTCGTCATCTATGTTAAGTTGGCCCAGTATTTACTGCCATATAAGAGGACTAATATTACGCAACATTTCTGTTGTTGTCCTGTTTAGGGACTAGAAAGAAAGACACGGAAGACGAAGGTAGGTTGAAAAAGTATATTGAAGATATATACAAAACAATATTGTTAGTAATAAGTAGATTAGTACTGCGTCTACTACTCCACTCCACTTCACACTCTGTTCTCCCCTCAGACTCTCGCAGTTTGTATTTATGAGAGAAAGAAGAGTTCATTATACTGTAAGAGGGTTTACCACAACAATTTCAACACTCTTTTATTTGTTTCTAACAAAATATTGCTGTTATTTAATACTTTGTTTAGGTTGTAGAAGGCAGTTTTCGATAATTGAATGCACCTTCGGATTTCGGTGTCATATTTTTCGTCGTCTGTTAAAACACATTCCGCATATTTTCGCACAAAGGACTGTTCATAAACATGGCCACTCTATGAATAACGGGAAAGTATTAACATGTATGTACGAAGTTGCATTCGAGCTTACACAACCGCATAAATATATATATATATATATATATATATATATATATATATATATATATTTTTTAACATTTCACCCCAAACAAGGCGGGGGAGCCACTAGGACGCAAGGGGTTACAGAAAATTTAGAGCAAGATCAGATAGGAGTGATAGAAGAAAGGATTAGGGTAGTGGATAGATCAAGGCAACTGGTGATGTCGATTGACATTACACTTGAATAGCTGGAGATTATAGCTCACAGGGAAACAGGAATAGGGAAGGGAGTTCCACAGGCGAGAGGTGCGAGACATGAAGCTATTAGAGTAGAAGAGACGGCTACATTTAGGAGTTTCGACAGTGAAGGGGTGAGAGCGGGATGCCAGCCTCGTAAGGCGCTGGAACTCATGACGTCTGGGAACCAGCGAATGCAGCTCCTCGGAACAATTTCCATGAAAGTATTTGTAGAACAGACAAAGGGAGGCGACGGTGCGTCTGTGAGAAAGTGACTGTAGACGAGACGCCAGGGCAGGGCCAACCATATTGCATATCCGCCTCTGGAGCCTATCAAGAACCCCGAGGCAAACAGAAGGGGCACCAGACCATATATGGCAGCAATACTCCATGCAAGGGCGAATTGTTGATTTGTAGATCTGGAGGATCGACTCCGGGGAGAAAAAATATGAATGCATATAGACAATCAGTAGGTAATCCCACTACGCACGTGTAATATTAGGCTGGCCAGAAAGTCCAGACTTACTTAGGAAGCAGAAAAAAAGCAATAAAGTTTTATGGAGCAACACCAACATTTAATTTCAAAATAAGGTCCGTCATTCTCGACGATCTTCTGCCAGGACTACTCGGCAACCTTCTCGCAATTTTGAACTAAGCCTGTTGTTGCACTCAATCAAAGTATGTGACTTTTCAGCACTGCCTGACACAGGGACGTGAGGACGCGAAAACCGGACGTGACGTGCGTTGAATGGGAGATACAAAAAATGGTGGCGTCTTCAAAGTGGGATTCGTTAAAATTCTGAGACAAACACCTGAAGAAAGTTGCAATTTATACGGCTGAAACGTAGACATAATGATAGATACATACAATTTATTTAAATTATTTTACCTTTTTTTATTATTATTTTTGGCGCTAGTAAACTTTTGCACTTCCCAGTTGCGTACTTTTATAATCACCATGTATTATTGGTCGGCCTACATGTATAATGGAAATCGACGAATTTTTTTTTTTTTTTTAGAGAGAGAGAGAAAAAAAATTAATATGACATGATGGATGACTATATTTCAGAAGTTTATGCGTAATAAAAGACTGAAAATATTATGATTTTTGGCGAAACTGAAAAAACCTTTATTAATATTGATTTTCTTGAATGAAAACATTAAAATTTCTAGATATTCAATTTAGATGTCGTAAATGTAAATTGTAATGTGTAGGAAGTAGATATATTGTTTTTTGAGAAGTGAAGGTACAAAACTATAATTGTGCTTTTTTTTTTCATATCTACAATGTCGTCTGCTCGAAATGCGAATTATTAGTATTACGAAAGCATACAATTTCCCAGATACCAGTCCGCTAGCTTTGAATAAAAATAAAAAAAAAACTGTTAACAAGCTTCCTTGGCTTCATCAAAAGTGTTGAGTCGCTGATCACGGAAGAAGTTTACCATTGAGCGGAATAAGCCATAGTCACTCAGAGCAGCATCGGGACAGAATGGTGGATGTGGAAGGATCTCAACACCGTCCATCTGTTTGAACTTCTCTTTAGTCAACCTGGCAGTGTGTAGCCTGGCGTTGTCTTGCTGAAATAAAGCACGACCTTCATTGACCAAAACAGAATACTTCCTCTTTAGTTTCTCGTATACGTGGTCTAGCTGTTGGCAATACCGTTTAACAATGATGGCGAGACCATATGGAACAAGCTCGAAGTGAAGTACGCCTTGGAAATTCCACCAGACAGAGACCAAGATTTGTTGTTTTGTTTCTTTTTCCTAAGAGACTCAAGACTTTCTGGCCAACCTAATATTTTCAACACTCATAGAAGTTGCCATTTGCATTAATCTACAGGAATGTAAAAAAATAACTAGGCTTGACTCATATGAATCCAAGATGTCTGTTTCAATTTGCTTCGTCCCAATAAAGTTTTATTTTTGATTTTCTCCTTTTTTTTCCATTCATCTTTTACTACCTGTCAATATTTTTTCTAGGATTTTTGTAGCATTCCATATCGCTAAATATGTCCTATTAGTTGTTGGACATGGTTTGACTGGATATTTGGAAAAGGTTCCCAAATAACCTACACGCTCCAGCTGATACGTTTCTTTTTTAATCATTTCACCCCAAGCAAGGCGATAATGCCACTAGGACGCAGAAGGTTACAGGAAGGGAAAGACTTTAGTGGGGAGAAGTAAGGAAAAGGACAATAAAAGAACAGAAGAGGGCGATTAACGTTGAATTTAAAATTTTTGAACATTGCAGGGAAGCAAGAATTTGGAAGGGGATTCCACAGGTGAGAAGTGCGAGAAAATAAACCACTGGGTGACCTCTGCATTTACATGAAATGAACTAGAAGCATGCCCATTCAATTCAAACTTTATTACATGATTTTTAGGATCGATTAGATTAGGCCAAATATTAATCCAGAGATAACATAGCCCTTAATCTTGTGGGGAAAGTCAGCTTGCCAAATTTTGTTGAACTCCTTTGAAACATCTAGAGCCACAGCCCGAGCATTGGCGTTCTTATCCATAGCTTAATAGATAAATTTAGTGATGACTCTTAACATATAGGTGATAGAACTAGAGAAACGAAAGCTATAGTTTACATCCGAAAGGAAGTTGTGTGGAGTAAGATGCTTAACCAATTATTTTGCCCAAATAGTTAATAGTGTGATAATTCAAGGGGTGTTCCTAATGATAGAAGATACAGAGGAGAACTTCCAATAAGCTAGAAAGCAATAATTATCTAGGTTTAACAATACCATTTGCAAAAAGCTCCCGAATAGTCTACACGTTCCAGTTGAAGAGAGATGCATAAAAAAAATGAAATAATAAAAAATATGTATAGAATAATGATCGAAAATCTACTGAAACATTTTTCATTTAATAGTGACGTTCGGATATATATATATAACGTCATCCACAGACAGACTGTTTCGCTGTTTACAGCTCATCAGTGTGGCTAGACATCCGGTTGCCTCTAGCTAGGATCGAAACCTGACTGAATTGGTGT